TACTATAGTTTTTATGTTTGGTACTATCTTTTTAAAGAATGTGCCTGTCTTTGAATTTGTCCATGCAGTCTGAAAAATGTTTTCTTTTCTTCTTTGGTGTAAAAGAATTTTCATTTCGAGGGGTCCCAATTTTGTATTTATATATTCTTTCTTTTGCATTCTTCCCTTGTTTGCAAGCTCGTCAGCCATCTCATTCCCATCTATTCCGCAATGTGATGGTATCCAAATAATGGTAACCCTTTTTCCATTAGTTAATAATTGTTCATGTAATTCAATTATGTCCTGGAGAATGTCAAATCTAGCTTGATTTCTGTGAGGTTCCCCAAGTGATTGGGCTGCCGAGAGAGATTCATTGAGTATAAGAATATCCCTGTCCAATTCTGTACTGCACGCCTGTTTCACTGCTCCCTGTATCGCTATCAGTTCATGTCAGCAGTAAGAATAGAAGTATAATCTGTTATTCGTGAATACGACCGGATATTTTGTTTTTTTAACATAGAATCCTGATCCAGTACGTTCATCCTCCTTGGATCCATCAGTGAAATACTGGATATGATTACTATATAAGTCATGAATATGTTTTAATGTAATATTTTTCATTGATGCGTATTTGTCTTCTCTCTTTTTTGTTTTGTTCTTTAGTGTTAGGTCCACATTAATGTCACAATATTTCCATATAAGAGTATTTCTTGTTTCAGTGTGGCGGACATTTTTTTTTTTTACTTTCAAAGTTCCCATAATTGCTTTTGTGCTTTCTACAATGCCGTTTTTAGTTTTGAGATGTTTGTTTGCGATCTTGATTATTCTGTCTCTGTAGACATTCTTAGCATTGTTTTCTTTATTATAATTTACTCTATGCCATAGTTTGACCTTGCTTTCCTGCCTTCTTATCCAAAGAGGGGGGGCTTTTGGTCAGGACCTAGACGGTCATATAATCAGGCCACCTGCGCGCTACTGACCTAGATTCCTTGTGGGCTTACACACCCGTGTAGTAAGCCCACAACCTTGTAGATCATTAGTAGTGATAAGCCTACGCAGGGTGCGGCGGTCAGTTTGAATTGTTGTTTTCTCATGCTTTGACACTGGATTATTTCTGCCTAATGCAGTTTGCTTTTCAAGTCATCTGGATTATGTGAATATTTTCTACATCATTGTGTGTGTTGAGGAACAGAAGTGGTGACTAATTAATTAATTAATTAAGATTGACCAGCAGTCTTGAGATCGCAAATTTGAAGTGCTGTTTGGCTGCACTGTAGGCCTACTGTTCATTTTCAGATTCTTCATCGCCATCGTACTCAGTGAATGCCTGGATTCATGATCGCCTAGGTCAGGACTGATAAAGCCATGCGGCTTGCAGCGTGTGTAGAATTGGTGATTATTCTCAATGCTGAATTTTGAATTATGTCCAGTTTCTTTAGTTGACCTTTTGCTCCCTGGTCGTATATTTCCTCTCCATAGGTAAGTATTGGTAGTATCAGATTTGTGTATATCAATGGTTTTCTTTTTGAATTTATCCCCCAGGTTTTTCCTGCTGTGTATTTCAAAATATTAAGTGTGTTGATTCCTTTCTCATATTTTTCAGCTATATGCTCCTTAAACTGGAAGAATTTGTCAAACGTAACTCCTAGGTATTTGACTGATTTTATAGTATGGACATTTGTTCCTTTTATCAGCAGATCTGGGCATAGTTTTTGGTTAAAGGAGATTGCTTGGGTTTTGTTCATATTTAATTTAAATCCAAGATTTGTAAGAGTCTCGATTAGGACATTTGTTGGATTTTCTATAGGTTTTTAAAGGAAAGTTGTATTCTTTTTTGCTCTCTTTCTTGGGGCATCTTTGGCTTTAATCCACAATACAGTGTCATCTGCAAACTATCCTATGCTTATCTTGGGATATTTATCTTCTATAACTCCTACTGAATTTATCAATATATTAAAAAGTGTGGGAGAGATTACTACCCCCTGGGGTGTTCCGTGTTCCTGACTTTTCATTTCAGATAATACGCCTCCAACTTTAACCCGAAATGTCCTTTCATAAAGAAAGTCCTTAATATAATTATACATTTTGCCAGTTATCTCCATTTTCATAAGTTGTTCAAGGGTTCCTTGTTTCCATAGTAGATCGTAAGCCTTTTCTAGATCCAAGAAAACTGCTGCTGCTACTTACCCAAAAGTTCTATATTTATCCAGTTCTTGAATTAATTTCAATTACTGATCGTGTGTTTGCCTTTTTCTTCTGAATCCCGACTGGTTGGCACAGAATAAATTCTTTTTTTTCATTGATCTGGATGAGTCGATTATTTATTATTGTTTCCAAAACCTTTCCAAGATGACTGGTGAGAGAGATCGGTCTATAGGAAGACGGTTCGCTTTTTATCTTTATTGGTATTATTGTGGCGTGCTTAAACTCCAGTGGAATTTTGTCTTTATTCCAGATATTGTTGAAGAAGTCTACTCTATCACTATTTTTGCGTTGTGTGGTAATTGGTCATACATTTCATATGTTAGGGAATTATGACCTGGGGTGCTTTATTTTTTCTTTCTCAATACTTCATTCATTTCTTTATAACTTATATCAACATTTTCCTCTTTATCGTCATTTTCTTGTTTTTGAAAGAGATGTTGATTGAGTTTTGAATGATTTTGTTTCTTAATTCTAAAAGATGCATCTAGGTTTTCATCACTACTAACAAATCGATAATGTTTTTCCAGCGTCTCAGCTATGTCTGTGTTTGAAGTAAGTTCTTTTCCATTAAGTGATTTCTGAGGACAAGTGCATTTGTGTTTTATATTTGTTCCATCAATAGTATGTATAGTACTCCACACTTGTGAAATTTTTGAATCAATATTAATAGATTTAAGGTAGTTTTTCCACACTTGTTCCCTGAAGTTTCTTATGGTACTGGTAGCTAGATTTCTAGCCTCTCTGTATCTTTTAAAAATGGGGACATAGCTGAAAATGGATCGGTTTTTTTTACGCGATACGTAGATCAAAACTATTTTGTGGACTTATCTAAAATGAATATTCGACAAATTTTGACTTCCAAATGTCGTGTACTAATTTGAAACGCAAAACTTCAGGGTGGAGGAAAATATATTTTTAAAACGTTGTATAGTTGTTGTTGTTGTTTTTTTACCACCCTGCGCATATGTATTGCTTTCATTAAATAAAAGGTGTAGCAATTTGTTGTCGGAGGTGCCATGTGGTTTTTTTTTTATCTCAGAAGAAAAGTAAGTCAAAACTGAGTTAGGGAAAATCGAGATCTGCTCGGTAGGGATGGTTTTTTTGGGTATAATTTGGTTGTACATGTATCAGAAGTTGGAAATGAGTCCTGGTATGTTTTCTTTAAAGAGGTTGATTCGAAGATCGTGTAACCGATTTCAGATACACCTTCTGTGTCGTGGTTAGGCGCTTCACGCGTCACACACTTGAGACCAGAGTTCGAATCCCAAAGGGGAGAATATTTAGGTAGTATCTTGGTCTCTCTGCTGGGATGTTGTATCCTCCTAAGCCCGGGGTAGCCCTTACAAGCATGGTTTAAGCCCGGCTCTTAAACCATCGAAATTGTGTCGATGGGGGTGTAAAACACCTTCATTTTGATTTTTTTTTCTGCAAATCCGTCTCCCTTCTGCCAATCTTAGTTGAATATGAGCTTCCTGCTATACATATGTGCCATGACTCGGTGGAATCAGGGGATTGTAATTTTTTTTTTGGCATGTGGAGTTATTAGTATCATCTGAAAACTTATTCATTTCTGTCCCAGCGGTTTTATTATTTTAAATATCTGAAATTATGCAAACTGAGCCCAAAAATGTGAAATTATGCGATTCTGTTAATTTTAACAAAGAATGATAAAAGAAAATAATAAGAAATTATGCAAAACATGATCAAATTTAGCTAAACTATGCGGGGTGCATAAAAACCCTGGGGACAGAGCCGCCCTGCTTTCGAAGAAAAATACACCCATCTATCTTGAATAGAAGTTGAGATATTTGCAATTGAAGGAGGAGGAAGGGGGCGGGGGGGGGGGGGGTGTCGCCTGGTTTCAGATGTAAAGTAAGCGAGAAAATGGCCGCCAAAGTTAGGTAATTTCAATAGCTTGAGAGTCTTTGAAAACTGGAAATTTACACATTTTGCGCCTTTAACCGATGTTTCCAGTAAAATTCACGGGGAAACATGTTTTGAAAGGGACATAAAAGGTATTGAGGCAAAAACAAAACATCGATAAAAATTGACAAACTGGCGGGAAAAATGCCTGCTGGAGTTCAGTATTTTGACGAGCGCCTGAGTTTATCACGATTCCTCACATATATTACGTGTCCTGCTAAATGTAAAAAAAATGGTGAAATGGTATGGGTTTAACGCCCCTATCAACACTATTAGGTTATTTAAGGGGCGGGACCTCCTAGTTTAACGTTCATCTCCGATAGGACCCAGCCAAGTGGGAAGTTCGTGTAAAGTGCCTTTCCCAAGGACACAACGTCGGACCGAGCTGAGGCTCGAACCCCCGAACCCGCAGTCTCACGATTACGAGTCCGGTAGCCTAACCACTAGGCCACCGACGCCACTGCTAAATGTCAGAATGCACTTTATTATTATGCTCACCATGATGTGTAATAAATAGAGCTATGAGTAAAGCACTGTACAGTCAAGCACGCTCATCGCCAAATAGGCGGGATGCAATATCTTTTTGTTATGTATGAATTGATCTATGTATGTTTAAAATACCAAGAAATACACCCCGTTTAAGAACAAAATTATGGACCTGAAAATCTGTGTGCCATGTGCGTTCTAGACTGCTGTCAGAATACTGATTATGATATTATGTATTGTGTTGTACTACTTCTCTAACTTATAAACATTACTTTTCACATTAATGGTTCATTTATAATTATCATATGCGTGTAACTGGGTCTGACTACAAGCATACATTTATTATATCATGTGACGTGTGTGTATGTGTGTTTGGAAGAGAGTATGCATGTGCGTATGTGTGTGTGTGTGTGTGTGTGTGTGTGTGTGTGTGTGTGTGTGTGTGTGTGGAAGAGAGTATGCATGAGCGTGTGCTAGTGGTGAAACACCAAACCATTGTGCCTGCATCTGACAATAACGATTACTTATCTCTTACGTTGACCACTGTCTTTTTGCGCCAAAATTTCGCCACGTCTGTGGTTGCTTTGGTTTATTTATTGTCCTTTGAATGGACTTATACATGTACTCAGTAGCGTCGGGTAGTTTGGAAAGAGCGTGGGGCTTGCTGTGAGTGACCAGACATGACATCCCTCAGATTGTAATGGATGTGCAATGACAGAATAGAAAAAGGCAATGTGAAAATCTATATAAATTATTACAAATACATGAACATTAGAAGTCTAAAATTGTTAGTGGCAATCCCACGTTTGAAACCAGTTAAAATGGACTCACCTCTATGCGTCTTTCGGCCTATAGTATATGAGCCTTTCCTAAAACCTCGGGACAGAAAGGGGGACACAAGGCATCCAAATTCAAAATGAGATAACAGCCTCAAAATAAAGGAGTTTCGCAAGATTTGATTAAATCTATGTATTATTATTAATAGAAAACAATACTGTCCAGGAAACTGACACTTTCGGTGTTTTAGGGGGTGTCACTGGTAGGTCCGATTTTTTTCCTTTCCCTCTGTTGTGCTCGTCTACCTGTCATGCCTCTCCCCAACAATAATTAGCAATACATGACCGTTATCGTTTTGATGTGCTCCTCGTTTGTCTTTCTAACTTTTCCCCAGCGCTACACGACCATTATTGTGTCGATGTGCTTCTCTTCACTCGGTGTGTAGTCGGATGACACGACTAGTAGTAGTAGGTCCTAATTCTTTACTTTCCCTCTTTTGTTTTTTAAAATCTGTCTTTCTTTTTTCCAGCGCTTAATGGTCATTACCGTGTCGATGTGCTTCTGTTTACCCAAGTGGGTAGTTGGAGGGCACCACCAGTAGGTCCCACTTCTTTACTTTCCCGCTGTTTTTTTTAAAGTTGTCTTTCTTACTTTCTACTAGCACAAAACGTCCATTACTGTGTCGATGTGCTTCTCTTTACTAAAAAAAACCTAGCTTTTCACTCAAACACAAAACACAGGCTAATTGGTCGCTTTTAAAGATTAGCAGGCTGACCCAGATTTCGGGGGTTTCCAGAAATCATGACCTACACCAAAAGTAGGCATTGCCCTACCTATAGGAGAAGTTTGGTTTCATTATATTTGTTTGGTTGTAGAAAAAAACTCTCGTAGTCTTGAAAAGAAACTGAACAAGGATCAAAAACTTTACCTTCGATTTTCTCAAAACAGCATTTTTCGGGACAGCCTCCTTCTGCTTAAAAAAAGCGACCAATTCTGCCTTCAAACAATCCAAGTGATGTGTGATAGAACTTGCGTTTGGATGTAGTGTGTTCATCAGTCTGCCCTGGTATTGGGACAAAACGAATTCTGCTTTTAACGTTTTTACAATAATTACGTGGCGTCGGTGGCCTAGTGGTTAGGCTCTCGGACTCGCAACCGTAAAGTCGTGGGTTGGAATCCCGCCAGGGGCCCGACGTTGTGTCCTTGGGAAAGGCACTTTACACGAATTTTCCTCACTTCACCCAGGTGGGAATGGGTACCCGGCTATAGACAGCGAAAGATCTTGTCAGTTTGTTAGTGTTTGAGCGCTTAATCAGCTGCTTGCACTGTATGCTTCCCGGGAAGCTGGGAATCTTTCGGAGTGTTCTATGGTCTGCTGGGGTAATAATATAGTGTAAAGCGCATAGAGCCTGCTGTTGAGTGGGGATATGCGCCATACAAATGCTATCTATTAGTATTTATTACACTCGGAAAATGTGTGAAGGGAGCAAAACTTCAGAGATGTCATTTTCTGTCGTTACAACTTAAGATGTTTATATAATGTATTCAGGAGAGACACGGCTAGCTAGTCTTGAAATAGCACTTTAACCGTCTAGCTGTTGACAAAAAACCCCCGAAAAACCAAAAGGGGTTAATTCCAGTGCCAATAAGGTTTTACAACTGTTCAGGGACTGAAATAAACCATATTATGGTTTCAGCTTTACTTGGCCTTCGAATCGGAAGTAATTATTCCCTGTGTGTTCTGTTAGAGGCAACCCCTGCTGACCCCCCCATCCCGCCCCCCCCCCCCAAGCCGAGTGCAAACATTTCTTTCACGACACGGTGGAATCAAGTGCTCGTCAATCTTGGGGCATGTGAAGTTATTGGTATCAGCTTAAAGCTTTTTCATTTGTCTTGCCAATTTGTGTTGCTTTGGTGAAAAAAAATATACGTAGTGTGTATCTTGAACAGAAGTCGAGGTATTTAGTTTTGAAGAATGTAGGAAACACCAGGTGTCAGAGCTAAAATTAGCGATAAAATGACCTCCAAACCTTGGTGAGTTCCAAAGCTTGAATACCATTGGACACTGCATATTATAGTACACATCTATTTTGTGCCTTTGATTATCAACGGTCTCTGGCAAAATCCGCACAGAAACGTGTTTTTAAATGAACCTTAAAGGCGTTGAGCTAAAAATTTAAAAAAAGAAAGAAAGAAAGAAGTAAAAGAGAAAAAAAATTGCTCAACGGGTGGGAAAATGCCGATTTATCTGATTTCATTACTATGAATATGACGAGCGCCTGATTCCACCGCGCTACCACACATTTATGTCATTATGATACTTTCAATCATACATCTTAAGAGATAGACCTAGAGTAAAAATATTGAATGGGAACCGGGACTTTAGAAAGTTAAAATTTCAGCCGATGACATCGATGGATTAGTAGGAGAAGAACAGGAGCTCGCCACATTAGTGGAGCGGCTGGACACAACCTCAGCAGCCTACGGCGTGGAGATCAGTGCCGAAAAAAACCAAGCTAATGACCAATAACACCAATGGCATCAACGCGGACATCAAAGTCAGGGGCCAGAAACTTGAGATCGTCAACATCTTCAAATACCTCCGATCAATCGTCTCAGATAAAGGCTCAAGACCTGAAATTCTCTCCAGAATCGGGCAAACAACTGCGTAGTCAAAACTGAAGCCTATTTGGAGGGACAGAAACATCACGCACAACTAAAAAATCACACTAATGCGCTCACTGGTCATCTCAACATTTTTATACGCCTGCGAGTCGTGGACACTGACAGCAGAATTAGAGAAAAAGATTCAGACCA